CTTTTAATTATTTGATTGTGATATCGAGATTGTATTTACGAAAAAGAATTAAATTTAAGTGCATGCTTGATTAAATATGGAACGTCCTAATCGATTTGCCACTTTAACACAACTTAGTTGACGTGACAGACTGCAATGACTGTGGAATTTTGCATGTGCATACAAACATCAAGTCATGACGTGGCTGGCTGTGATCTCCCGGTCTCGTTTCGAATTACCACTGCATATTTTTTTGAATGGAAAATTGTCAAGTCGTGATGTAGCTGACTGTGATCTCCTGGTCTTGATTCGAATTGCCACTTATCATGGAAGTTTGTGTACCTGTTCAAAAGTCAAGTCAAGATGTGACTGGCTGTGATGTCCTGATTCGAATTGCCAGATTTCGTTTTTTAGTATGGAAATATGTATGCACATACAAAAGTCAAGTCATGATGTGACTGGATGTGATGTCCTTATTCGAATTGCCATTTTTCATTTTACTATGGAAATATGTATGCACATACAAAAGTCAAGTCATGACGTGACTGGCTGTGATGCCCCGAGTCGATTTGCTACTATGGAAATATGTATGCACATACAAAAGTCAAGTTATGACGTGGCTGGCTGTGATGCCCCGAGTCGATTTGCTACTATGGAAATATGTATGCACATACAAAAGTCAAGTTATGACGTGGCTGGCTGTAATGTCCCGAGTGGATTTGACAGTTTTCATTTTTACTATGGAAATTTGTATGAACATACAAAAGTCAAGTCATGACGTGGCTGGCTGTGATGTCCCGAGTCGTTTACTTGTTTTTATTTTTTAGTATAGAAATTTGTATGCACATACAAGTCAAGTGACGTGGCTGGCTGTGATGTCCCGAGTCGATTTACCTGATTTCATTTTTGAGTGTGCAATTTGAATGCACATACAAAAGTCAAGTCATGACTTGGCAAACTGACACACTTACTGCTGTATATATATATATAGATACACTACATATATATCGAGGACATGGTCGATGTTGTTATCCTCGTCCTTGTGCCGCCAAGATTTCGTAGCGCTGGGCGACCCGGTGTTGGTACGAGTCCGAGATGACTCCGTCATAATTGCTTGGGGATCCAATGCGATGGTACAACACGAACACAGCGCCTAGAAACAGCATCGCATCTACCCGGTCCAGGAGCCCGCCGTGGCCCGGGATGAGCGTCCCTGTGTCCTTGACCCCCGCGAGGCGCTTCAACAGACTCGCAAAAAGGTCACCGTACCGCGAGATGGCGCCGCCGACG